TTGTGATAAATTTGACATATAAGGCCTCCAGTTCAGCTCCTGAAGTCCTAACCAATGGGAGAGCTGCTTGGTTGTATCTACCTAGATACCACAGAGAAAACAATCCTGATTGGATCATTTTTCCTTTATCGTTTCAAGACTGTTTCCAACCAGAACTTAACAAAGTATTTTGGTAACAAGCAACAGTTATTAAATATTTACGTGTAATAGTCTATTTATACTATTTTCTTGTAACAAATTGACTCTAAATGGCTCTTTGATCAGTAAGATTTAGTTACATATGTTCAAATATGAGGCATGCTGATATTAATTTAATTGAAAGTTCATTCCTGATGCTGTAAAGCTTTCTCAGTTATTATGGAGTCATCTACTTATTTATTGTTATCACTTTACTATGTATTATTATTACTTTACTAGAATATTTCCCTTGTATTAAAACTGTTTATGCGTTTTTACCTGCAACAACATACGTTTTGTATTATTTTAGGTTGTGCACAGTGATTCCAAACCAAGCTTATAATAGTGGAGTACACACACACACACACACACACACACACACACACACACACACACACCCACACACACACACAAATAACATCCTCCATGTCCGGATGTGTCACATGACTCTTGTCTCTCAGGGCTGAAGGCCAGTGACCAGACAGATGCCGGACCACACAGAGGGGAAAGTGCAGGGACCGACTTCAAACAGCCAGGAAACAAAGACAGAGAGAGAGAGAGAGAGAGAGAGAGAGAGACAGAGAGAGAGAGAGAGAGAGACAGAGATTCGTAATAAATATATAAATATAAATTAACGACAAGGTTTTATACATATATATTATATAAACCACTCCTTCTTTTAATTATTTTCCAGTCAAAATAACAAGTTTTTTTATTTGTCTATATATGTATATTCATATATGTTAAATATATATATATGTTAAATATATATATGTCTATATATATATATATATATATATATATATATATATATATATATATTTAAAATGTATGTGTATGTGTGTGTGTGTGACATATATACATACATATATATATATATATACACACATATACATGGAATGCATTATGTATGATATTATGTACGTATTATAAATACGCGTGTTCACTGGATAAGCACATAGTTTTGAAAATTGCTCTACACTGAGTGCAGTATGAATGTGTGGACTTTACTGAGGGTTTTTCTATTCTACATAAACTGGAGTGAGTACCGTAAATTGGAGTGAGGGAGGTGTAGGATGTGCTGAAAAAAGGTATGGCATTGATAACAATGAGGAAGAGGCGAACAGAGGGAGGGAGGGAGGGAGAGAGAGAGAGAGGGAGAGAGACATCCTGTTTTGGAAACACATGCTGTGTTCTGTGTTCATGCACTTAATCCACTTTAAGCCACATTAAACCTTGTCGTTTTTCAAGCAAATCTCTTCAATCGCTTTATTTACATGTCTGTCTACAAAAGGAACATGAGGAAGGGGCTGTGTTTACTTCTGAAAGACCAGACATCACTTATAGTTATTATAGTAGACCATACTGAGTGAACATCGCTTTGTCTCCTGCAGGGTGTGCATGTGTGCATGAACGTTTGTATATGCATGCATGTATGTGTGTTTGTTTTTGCCCATTTTTAGAACAAAATGACCTGACTGTGGTAAAATCAGAAAAACAGAGCTAGCCTCTGTCCATAGTTAACACATAGGGGACATATTATGTTTACACAAAGGTACTTACATATATATTGGTGTTGTCAGAACAAAACCTTGTATCTCCAAAATGGTAACTTTACAGGAGAAGGAAAAAACCTACTTCACTTTTAATGCAAGTCAGTGGAACCAGAATTTTTTCCAAGTACGTTTGGGCCGTTTCTTTTGGTCCATTTATCATGAAGTTTACACATGATGTAAAGGGCAACAGACTTTTTCAAATTATGCTAAAAACTGAAAAACGACAAAAAATGGAGATACAAGGCTTTCCAAATAAAGTTTTTTTTTTTTTTTTACTTTTCTACATCATTTGAGCACAGCTGCTACTGCCATTTACACCATCTGAAAATTTCATAATGTACTGACCAGTGGAACTGCTCCAAAATCAGTTAGAATAAAATATCTTTACATTAATGTACATTAAAAGTTGAGAAAGTTCTTGCCTTGTCCTGTAACGTTACTATTTTGGAGATAGCTGTTGTTTTGGACAGCGACAACATAGATAATATGTACGCAACACACTATTATTATATATAGGTACTTACATAATGTTTACATATATATCATTTATATCAAACATATGTGTGACCTGCATGACATCCTCACAAGGTACCCACAAGTGTGTGCGTATGTGTGTGTGTGGGTTCAGAGGACACAGGATAAGCCGTGTGAGCAATCAGACGCTGGCAGTGGTCAGCAGTGTCGGGTCGCGGGGGAGTTTGGCAGGAGTGTTAGAGTAACGAGGGAGGCATCCTCCTGTCGAGGAAAGAGAAAGAGCAGCACACACACACACTTGTGTCCCACACACACGGACGTTATTTACAGCCGGCCGTGACCGGTCCGACACACATCGTCCCGGAAACCGGCCTGCGTCCCTCCCTCAGCTTTATTGATCTGAGAGCTGTTTGTTAGGAGCGAGATGAACCGCTCAGATAGAGGCCAGAGAAATGAAAAACAGAAGGACGGAGAGAGAAAGAAGGAGAGAGAGAGAAAAGGGGAGAAAGACAGAGGGGGAGAAAGAGAGAAAGAGAGAGAAAAAAGAAAGAGAGGCAGAAAGAGAGAGAGTGAGGCAGAGAGAGAAAGAGAAAGAGAGAAGGGGAGAAATAAGGGAGCAAGACGGAGGAAGAAAGAGGCAGAGAGAGGGGGAGAGAAGGGGGAAAGGGAGAAAGGGACGGGGAGAGGGAGAAAGACAGAAAAGGAGAGAAGGCAGGAGCAAGAGAAATAGAGAGAGAGAAAAAAGAGAGGGATGCAGAAAAAGAAAGGGAGGGAGAGAGAAGGAGAAAGAGACAAGGGGAGAAAGAAAAAGAGAGCAAGATGGAGAAACAGAGAGAGGGAGGGAGAAAGAGAGAGAGAAAGATGGGGGAGAGAAGGGAGGAGGGAGGGACAGAGAGCGAGAGAGAGAGAGGGAGGGAGGGGTGCATGAGCCAATAAAAGCTTAATGGACTCAAACCAAAATAGCACCTTTTAATTGAGAGGAAGAGGGAAAAAACACAGAACAATGCAGAGGAAAGGGAGCATGTGATTAAAACGGCGGAGGTCAGCAGGGACGGGGCGAAATTCCTCCCCAAAACCGGCGCGCTGTGACCAGAGTGAAATTCAGCTCTACTCTCTGTTACACAATGACTAAAGTGAGCGGGTTTATCAGTAGACGCTGTCCTTTGGACCGGTCAGTGCCGTAAACATCGGCTTTGTGATAGGAAAACACAAACAAGGCCAGTAGTGTACGCCCTGAAACGTTTGGCTGTTATTACTGGAGCCAGCTGAGACTGAAAGCACTTAACATGCGCAGAGTCGCGCAAAATATTTTGAAAAATCAGTGACGGCTGAGCTCTGAACACCCTGTCCTGAGTGCGTTCACTAACGGATTCCATAAAAAAACAACGTATTAAGATATATAATATGTTATACAATGTGTTTGATGAAAAAATCACTTATTATTTGATTGAAGCTCTGAAATTCTACGTTTATTTATTTATTTATTTTGCTCCCTGTGCTTCTGTCCACTGCTGCTCCCACAAGAGCTGCCATATGTCAGCAAACATGGGGCAGTTTTTTTGTAAACATGTAACAAATTAACAAATTAAAAACATGGGTAACACTTTACTGTAGGGTTCCGTTCATAAGGCTACATGACATCTACATGAGCTCGTCACGACAACTGACATAACCCTACGTAAATGTTTATAAAGGTTTATTCCAATAGGCGTCATCTGTCGTAAAGGCTACATACAGCATACTGTGAGCATTAAATGCATAAAGCAAAATAAAAGTCCTAGGGACGAACCAGGAATTCTGGATTAATGTTGATATCTTTCGTGTACACAAACATTCATAAAATGTCAAAATTAGGACTGAATGTAACTACATTAGCATTACTTAGAAATATACAATTTATGCCAGAAATGTTGTAAGTAGTGAAATGAATAAAACACAGATATTTTAGCAGAACAGCCAAGCGTTGTCTAAATGTTTTTGCTTGTTTGTTTTTTTTTGCTGTTTTTTTAAAATATAAATATACATGATACATAATATGTACATTTTCTAGGGATATATATATATATATATATATATATATATATATATATATATATATATATAAAACAAAAATATTGAAGTACATCATATTTGAACAGTTTTTGTAGATTTTTGTTTTAAAGAGGGCTAAATTAATTCATCAATACATCATCAAATATCGAGTTTTGAAATATAAGTCGAATCTAAACATCTGGTCGATGACGATATATTTTTAAGCAACTATCTGCCGATATCGATATGATTCCGATATCATCGTGCACCCCTAAAAAAGCCACAGGTACATTTTCAAGCAGGAGCCTCACGTTGGTTTTCATATTCGCTTAGCTCGTCATTAGAACTTTCCGTTCCACCTTAAATGGTGCAGCAGCTACATTGTGGCGCCAACCTTCACTGCTGCGGCATTTAAGGTGGAACGGAACCGTCGAATGAGAAGCTTGTGAATAAAAGGCTAAGTTCAGCTCCGATTATCAAGCCAAAGGCGTATATCATTTTCACGGCACACACACACACACACACACACACACACACACACACACAACACCACCACACCATTCACAAGCTACACACATACACCCCCACTTTCTCTCTCTCTCTCTCTCTCTCTCTCTCCAGTCACACATACTCTCTCTCTCTCTCCAGTCACACATACTCTCTCTCTCTCTCTCTCTCTCTCCCTCTCTCCAGTCACACATACTATCACTCTCTCACTCTCCAGTCACACATACTCTCTCTCTCTCTCTCTCTCTCTCTCTCTCCCTCTCTCTCTCCAGTCACACATACTCTCACTCTCTCACTCTCTCTCTCTCTCTCTCTCACTCTCCCTCTCTCCCTCGCGCCGTCGTGCCCACATTAATCCTCCTCCACTCACTCTGAGCTTTCAGCGCTGAACCCGTCGCTCTTCTGGACACTGACTACAAACCAGCCGACCCTCTTTATCCCCCCAGACTGGATCCACACGAGAGATTACACTCAAACTTCTTCTTTGTCGGGGCTGATTCAGAGGGAGAGCGCAGAACAGTGACAGTGCCCGGCGGAGCCACACTGACGGAGGGGCTTCACTCCGAGGCTGGATATGTTTACCGTTAACGGTCGTTTATGAGGCAGAAAGGTGAGTTTGATACAGAAATACAGACCTCAGTCTGCGCACGGTCGGCTCGCAGGGGACGCCGAGGAGCACCGAGCATCGAGATGATTGTTTCCATGGCAAAGTTTCTGAGGTAGCTTCACAAACTGCCGCGGGGTTTTTCTCCTAAAAAGCCGCTGAAGTTTCCCACCTGCGAGGACCGGGCATGGCGACCGGGCGCTGCTGCCGCTGAACCCGAGGTAAAAATGCGTTTTTATCCGCCTCATGTTTCTCTAAACGCCTCCGAGGCGCGTCTGAGCGACTTTTTTAAAGGACCAATATCGTGGAAAACTGAACTTTTTAAATAAAAGAGTTTGACAGAGTAGATGAACACTGGTAAAGTATGAAGCGTACATACAGTTTATATATGGAACCTAATATCCAAAATTTTGAATTCATAATTCATAATTTTTGTGACGTCACAAAAAAAAACACGTCGCTGCGTCGAGGTAGAAATGCATTTTATCTGCCTGATATTTCTCTAAACGCTTCACCGAAGCTTGTTGGAGTGACTTTTTTAAAGGACCAATATCGTGGAAAACTGAACTTTTTTTAAAAAATAAAAGAGTTTGACAGAGTAGATAAACACTGTATGTTTGAAATGTATGAAACATACATACAGCCCATATATGGAGTATAATATTTAAAAAATTATTGAATGTTTGTATTTGTGACGTAACAAAAAACAGCACATTTTCCACAATGGTGGCTCCAAAATGGTAACTTTACAGGAGAAGGCAAACATTTTTTACTTTTAGTGTAAGAGATTTTATTCTAAGCAATTTTGAAACGTTTCTATTGGTCCGTTGATCATGATTTTTTTCACACACTGTAAAGAGCAGCTCATGGGCTCTAATGATGTAGAAAAAAAATGCAAAAAAAAGAGATACTTGTTTTTTTACAGCGACAGTATATTCATTCACCCATTCAGCCTACAGCACTTTAGCCCTGCCCACTCACACTGAAGTTATAAGGAGTGTTTCAGCCTTTTTGAATTTGAATGAGGCACAATACGGAACAGCCAATCAGAACAGAGCTCATTTACATATATCAGTTTAAAAGGCTCAGTAACTAGAACAGTCTGTTTAATTGTAAGGGGTAAAGAGAGCCATGTACAGTGAATTATGATTGTTTGTGATAAATAAAACTACACTAATATGTGGAAAAAACTAGAAGATTTTAGGATATATATATATATATATATATATATATATATATATATATATAAAGGATAAATATATCTATATATATAAAATAAATATATCTTATTTTATATATATATATATATATATATATATATATATATATATATATATATATATGTATGTTTCGGCTGTTGTTGGAAGAAAACCCTGCATCTCCAAAATGGTAACTTTACAGGTAAAGGAAAAAACCTACTTTAATTTCAGTGTAAGTCAATGGAACCTGACTTCTTTCTAAGTGATTTTGGGTCATTTCTTTTGGTCCATTCTTCATGAAATCGACACACAATGTAAAGGGCAACAGGCACTTTTAATTTATTTAAAAAACTGAAAAACATGCTGTCTAATTAGCATGTTTGGACACTGAAAACAAAAATGTAGCGGTCACATTTTTTGCTTTTTTTCATTTATTTTTTGTTATATATGTTCATATATACACACTAGAATTGTCTGAATTAACCACAAAGTGAATCACCCCCTTCAAGTTTGTACACGTATGAGTTTCCCTCAGTTTGAAATGATCAGCATTCCTTTTTTTCCGTCCATTTAAACATCATGTCTATTTCTGACAAACTGCTTAACGTGAGGGACGTCTCTTCCTTCCCTAAAGAAGGGAGCCCTTTTGTTTGCTTAGGAGTCATAAAGCTGTCATTACTGCTTGTGAATGTAGGTGAAGCGTGTTTTATGTCCAGATCTATTCTGGAGAGTCCAGCCTGTATTGACCTGAACCACATGTTTTTGATCACTCAGGCTGCTTTGACTATTGAGCTGTTTACATTACCATATCTTACTTTAGAGGTGGGCGATATGACAAAAGTATGACATCACATTACTTCAAGGCTTTTTCACAACATACAATATGTAGCATGAATAGGGCTGCAAAAAATGATCATTTAATTGACTAATAATCAGTTAATCAGCTTAAATGTGGCCTGTTAATGTGAAAAGCTGTCACAGCTCATGTTTTGTTCACCAAGAGCTAAATTTCCACCTTGGAAAAAATGTGGCACTTTGTTTAAGACTGTCCATAATAAGCAATTAGCTAAACATAAGTATATAATAGGCTATAATAATCACTATGTAGAATAACGTTATAGCTCTTCAGACGGCAGCATCATTTAATCGATTTAATATTTTACTGTGCTGGTTCACCAGACGAGGTTCCAGATGGGATATTTTTCATGCAAGTCGTATTTGAGCTGCATTTCAAGCCAATTAAGCACATTAAGAACATACATAGTTTAGCGCGCTAATGTATGCAATGCTGTGACAGAACAAGCTGCCGAATGTTCAGTAGTTTTTGTAAATAGCTGCTAAAAACATCTAATTAGCAGAAACTGATAGCATATTCCAGTGACTAATGTTAGTAATGTAACATGTGGAGCTTTAGTGATGTTTGTAAGGGGAACATTAGCTTATTCTGGCAATTACTTACAGTGTGAATTGCATGAATGCAGGGAGTAGTTTGGTTTATCAGAACATGAGTCAGACAGTAATAAGATTTCTGCTTTGCAACCAGACAATAAACTCACAGAAGAAGACATGACGTAAACGTAATGTATAATTCAAACTTCATGCCGTGGCTTTTTTAAAAAAAAAACATTCCACCACTTTACCTGAAAATATGAACATACATCATCTAGAAGATGAAGAATATTTAAATCCTTCATTTTGTCAAGTATGTATTTGGTTTCAGTGTCACTCCAAAAGTGTTTAGCTGCATCTTGCGGTGACGCTGCTCACTTATTTCCGGTACCGCTGTCTGTTTTCGCACATGCACAGACTGAGAAATCCGAAAGAAATCAGAGTAAGAGTTCACATGCACAGAGAAATCTGATTACTGAGCTAAAATCCAGCTCTCTTTATCAGATTTCTTAATCAGATTTCTAGACCTTATTTCAGTCTAAGAAATCAGAGTGTGCTGTTTACATGACCATTTGAATAATCAGATAACTGCAGAAATCCGATTATGATCGGATTATTGAGTACACATAAACACACTCAATGATTTAACTATCCATAGATCATCTATAGGTGACCATCCAAATAAAGTGTGACCTGATTAACATCTAATTATTTCTCTTAACTTTCTCTCTTGATGTGCTCAGGCCTGTCGGTGATCAGATTGATGCTGAAGATGGAGCCCAGTTTGCTGGGATCAGTGTGGCTCCCGCTTTTGATCCTGCTCACTGGAGTGACGTTAGGAGTGGTGGAGTTGGAGCCGTTATCTCAGGATCACGCTGGAGCATCTTCTCTCAGGAACATCACTCTGGCCGTTATCTTACCGCACCAGAACACGGAGTACCCATGGGCCTGGCCTCGAGTGGGCCCTGCTCTCTACTGGGCCCTGGAGAAGGTGAACTCTAACCCCACCCTGCTGCCAGGGTACCACATGCAGCTGGTCTTCAGCAGCAGCGAAAACAAGGAGGGCCTGTGCTCGGACTCAGTGGCACCCCTAGTGGCCGTGGACCTGAAGTTCGCCCATGATCCGTGGGCCTTTATCGGGCCGGGATGCGACTATGCTTCCTCACCCGTGGCCCGCTTCACCACGCACTGGGAGGTTCCCATGGTGACGGCTGGAGCCCCAGCAATTGGCTTTAACATGTACTCATCCATCACCAATACGGGGCCCACGCACAAGAAACTGGGCGAATTTGTGGTGAGGATGCACCACAACTTTGGCTGGCACAAGCACGCCACTGTCATGTTTCACGACAAAAAGAACGACGACCGGCCGTGCTACTTCGCCGTGGAAGGGCCGTACGCAGAGATGACCGCAGACAACATCACAGCGAAGGACATGGTGTTTAATGAGGATGAAGAATCACTGTCCTACGCGGATCTTATCAGTGATATTAGCCAGCGAGGACGTGGTGAGTCTGAAGCATAAATGGCCTGTGCTAGTAGTAGATGTGGTTAATTGACTGCTAATTGACTTAACTAAATTAATTGACTTACCAGAAAATGGAAACATGTCCTCACGATTTGCTGTTTGCAGTATATCAGGGGCCAGCAACCCAAACAACCTGGGTGCCACAACATTTTATATCCATTTTACAATCTTGGCTGTAAATATGTCTCAGTATGTGCTAATGTTCTAGTATAGGCTTAAAATATAATATAAGCGAAAATACAGACTTACTTTGCTCTGCTTTAAGCTTTAGCTCAGCTATATCTGCTTTTCCGCATCTCCAGCAGGAAACAAAACTAGAATTGTTTTTTTGTAAAATGTTTTTCAACATTTGACTTTTTACAAGGGTGAAGTCGCTTCTCATTCACCAGCATCTTGTTTGAATTTTCCCATTCCACCTTAAATGGTGCCTGAGGAGCCAGAATGTAACTGCTGCACCCTTTAGGGTGTATCGGAAAAATGTAACAAGAAGCTGGCAAATGAGAAGCTGACTTCAGCCTTGTGACTTTTTTTAGTGTTTGACGGTTTCTCAATGCAGATTAAACGTATCAGGAAACCAGCCGGAGTGATTATAAATGCAAATAAGTCCATTCGTCTCTAAATTATTAATGCCCATCTTAAATCTGTCTCTTTGCCGTTTCGTTAGCTACTAGCTAGGCGAGATTGCGTTGGTATGCATGCTGATCTTCAGGGTTAAAGATTGGTGAATTCAGCAGTCAGTAACTCCAGTGATTAAGATCATTTAATCTCAAACCTGTGTCCGATTGTTTTTTTTTACTGCAAAGGCAGATTTTTGTTATTTTTACTTTAAAAAATCTAATCGTGCTGTGGAGCCGCAACAGGGAAGCAGCTGCATGTTGCTGACCCCTGGCCTAGGTGGTTGCTAAGGTATTGCTAGACTGTCGCTATGATTTCCCTGCTGGTTGCAAAGGTATTGCAGAAGGTGCAGTGTGGAATCATGAAACGAAGAACAGTAAGCTGGCTTGGTAAACAGTAATTGTGCATCGAAGGTATTGTTAGAGGCTGAATTTAGCATATTAGAAACTTCTGCAGTGTCAGTATCTCCATCAGCAAATCCTGTTATTAATATATTGATTAGCAAAAGATATATTCTGCAGCCCTTGTGTACAAACTACTTCTAAAGCCCCTTTTAGTTCCAGAAGCTTCTAAATTCAAACTAATACTGATCAATGAGAGAGTTAAAAGTCAAATCAGACCTAAGAATAACAGGTTTTTTGTTATATAACGAGAACTTGTTAATAAAAAGAATAAGGAGGATCTTTGCTTCTGTGCCGAAGAGAAAATGTTTGTGTTTTCTCTTCACGTGTTTAGGAATTCTTGTAATACTAAAATATACTGAGTTATCATGGTTGTATATCAGCTGTTTAGGGCAATAATGATATGGATGAGTAAATACTACCCGAATCACAACTCTGGAAACAATTAAAGAAGGCCTGGAATGATCTCTTCCCTTCCTCTTTCGAGAACACATCTGAAAGCAGGCGTGAGAGGAAAGTATGAACATGATAAAGAGGTTTGAAAGAAAGACAGAGCCCAAGAGGAAAAAAATGTGAGGAAATTGTATAAAGAATGTGTATGGGTTTGAATAATGGAGAGGATTCTGAACAGAAAGTCCCTTCCCATCTGTTTCCCAGACCAAGTTTAGAAAAGGCCCATATAGAGCAAAGGCAGAGGCGTTTTCAAAGATGGCGAAGATGGAGAGTTGAGTGAGAGGGCTGTCACTGTCTGTTATATTGATAATGGAGCAATCTGAAGATTATTTTGATAATCTGTCGAGTAATCAGAGCCTTCAAAGGCCTTCCCTGAACAGTAACAAACCACTGCAGTCCCTTTACAGACTCCAAAATATTTAACTGCGCAAAGTAGGACAGTCACAAGATATAATAAATCATTTTAGATACAAAATAAAGACAAAAATAAATTTAAAGACAGATTTTTTTATTTTGTAATAGCTGTGTGAGCAAACAAAATAAGCTCAGAAATCAGAAACTAATTATTGCGTTCACTAATTATTTTAATCATATGATGAAAAACGCAGAACTTGAAGATGAAAATTGTGTGATTTCTACAGTGTGAACGCCAGTCCTCCAGTCTTCATCACTGACGTCCAGTGACAGAAACAGTGGCAGCATGTTCCAACAAATGACTGTATATCATCTATATCCCATGTGTCTATGTGAACGCAAGGCCCGCGGGCCGAGTCAGTCCCATGGCACTATCCTCCTATCCTATTATTTAAATATTCTATTACTAGTAGCCCATTTCACCATGAGCAGCACTACAATCCCCAAAACACTCTACTGGACTGCAGATACACCACCAAAGGAAAAGATGGCAGGTGTCTCATTTAAATAGGCAGTTTTTAAAAACCTCCCCCCTGGGAAGATTTAAAGAAGTTTAACAGCCTGTAGCTAATGTAGCCTGTTGTTTCATATAAAGTAGTGTGTTTTTATTTAAAAATGATTTTTTAATTAGTTCAGGTAATCATGCAATGTCAAGGTCTGCTACAAGTGCCTGTATTTTGCTGTTGCTGTTTTGGCGTATTTTGATTAAACAGTAGCCAGTGTTCAGGTCAAAGCAGACTGTTAATTAACAATGAACGCGTTTACATGCACTTAATAATCCAATAACTACAAAAAATTTGATTTTGTCAGTAATCCGATCAACGCGTTTACATGCACTTGAGTAATCAGATAATGGGAAACTCCGGGTCTACATGAGTCAGATAGTAATCAGATTTCTGCTTTGAAACTCACAGAAGAAGACGTGACGTAAACATAATGTAAAACTCAAACTTCATGCCACAGCTTTTTTATTAACATTGCGCCACTTTACCTGAAACTATGAACAAACATCATCTAGAAGATGAAGAATATTTAAATCCTTTATTTTGTGTTGGTTTCCGGTACAGAAGTCTGTTTCGCACATGTGCAGACTGAGAAATCCGAAAGAAATCAGAGTAAGAGTTCACAATGCACTAAGAAATCTGATTACTGAGCTAAAATCCAGCTCTCTTTATCAGATTTCTTAATCGGATTTCTAGATCGGAGTATGGTGTTTACATGACCGTTTGAATAATTGGATAACTGCAGAAATCTGATTATGATCGGATTATTGATTGCATGTAAACATAATAAAAAAAAACACAGGCGTTCTCTGGCTAGTAAGCAGGTAAGCGTGATGTACAAACTCAAAGTGCTGGATAAATATTTTGTGATATGATAGTAAGTTCTGAGACAGTTTAATCAAATTACACTGAAACGCCAATCATGAAAACGTTATTCAGATTGATGGAGAATGTGCTCTAGATGGTTCTATAAAGAGCTCTTTTTGAAAAGAGTTCTATGTAGCACCAAAAAGGGTTCCACTGTTGTTACAAGCCAAAGAACCCTTTTTTGGTACTATATAGACCCCTTTTGGCTAAGAGTATAGATGTTACCTGAGTAATTGTGGGGTATCTTTAACATGCTGTGTAATTATTTCGGGTAAAATGATGATAAATGCCAAGACAGTTTAACTAAACTCCAGCTGTTAAAGTGATAAAGATGGCAGATAGGAGATATTAAAATATCTCATACATATTTTAAATTTAGGGAATCATATGCCTTCAAAGAGGGGATATGATCATTATTTATTATCATTCACCCCTAATTCTTCAGTGATATGAAGCTGAAGTCACCTCTTTGCCAGCTACTTGTTCGAATTTTCCCGTTCCACCTTAAATGGTACAGCACTTCTGACGCCTGAGGTGCCAGAACGTAACTGCTGCTCCATTTAAGGTGGAATGGAAAATTTAGCTAGCTAGCTACCGAGACATTAGCATACTACTAGCGATGTTATGCTAGTTATGAAGAAAAGGACCATAATACACTGAAACGACATTAAACTAAAATAATTCAGTGGTTCTCATAATTTTTTAACAGAGAAAATTCTCACATTTGTGGGTTTCTTTGGTTGCTCGCGCTGCCATCTTGTCGGTCTTCCTTTTTTCTCATAACGCTCCATTTGGAGTGTGACTCTGTCAAACCTCCATTTGGAGGGCCATGTAGTCCCAACACTTCGCCCTCCCCCTCTATCTCAACAATAGGAAAACCCTACCCCTAGACGTAAACGCGGAAAACAGAGGGGTAGGGCTAAGTGGTAGGGGCGAGGGGTGAAATGGAATTGGGCCTAAATTTTACTGTAAAGTCACATGTTTAAGCAGGAAAGTAAACACCGCCAAGTTTCAGGTAGTTATTTGGCATAAAATGAGGGCACAAAATTTCTAAAAGGTAAGAACTCAGTAAACCATTGCTTTCTTTTAGGGCCCAGATTCAGTTTCAATAATAGGTAATAGACAGGTACGTACTATGTAAGACTCTGTGCTTTATTCACACACATCTCTTTACTCCATACCTGCTACTTTTTACTCAAATACAATTGCACAGTACAGTTTGTACCACACACTTATCCAGTTAATACCGAGAACCTTTTGGGGATTTCAGTGTAATTTAGTTAAGAGACATTCTATGGAAACATCCGTTTTTGTGGTCCTAGCATTTACAGATATATTACACTTGAAAAACATGAAATACAATTTATTTATATTTTAAAATAAAAATATTAAGTTATTTGAACAATTACTCCTTCTTGAGCCTCAATTTAGCAATATTGGTTTTTAAATCAATCATATAGAATTCCAAGCACCACAGAAGAGCTCGTCCCCACAGTCATGTGTGAAGGGTGAGGCAATATTTTGAGCTAAAAACCATGTTTTTCTGCAATTTTAACTGCAATAATCTGTACATGACTATGAAATATATAAATTAAATGATATAAAGAAAATAAATGCCAAATAAATATTATAAAATATGTAATGAAAGTTCCCCAGGAGTCGTGTCACTGGTGTTACCGCATAACAAAAAATCTCTTATTTTGAAATAAAAAACAACGGATGACATC